CCCCCCCCCCCCCCCCCAAGTCCTGAAGTATCTGATAATCATCAGCAAACAGCAAACAGCAAACCTTTAGTAACAATTTATTTAACTTTAAATTTGGAGTACAGTACTTTAACTTAATTTAATGATGTTGTGCTATTTCATTGTTGCTATAGAAATTTTGTGGACTGGATTTCGCAGCATTATGGATAGATTTGCAAACTGCTATGAAATAAGTGGAAGGATTCTGTCTTACTGTCACCCGATTGAGAAAATTGGCCAGGTATGTGCAATGTATAATTTTAATTAAAAATAGTAAAGTTTATTAAATTTATATTATTATCCATTGTGAGCAAGCAGTTGTGGTAGGGATAGATTTTCTGCTTTCTGCTGATATGTTATCATGGAGCTTTACATGCTTTACATGTAAACATATACAAATTTGACCCTTAAGAGTGACTAGTATCTAAATTCTCCGCACAATATTACCCCTGGATCACACATTGAGGTCTCGAGAATAAAGGAGATGATTATCAACTAAGGAAGCTTTTGATCATTGAACAAATTCTTCTTGTCAGCACCTTGAGAAATGTATAGAGAACAGCAAGGAGAATATGCATATTGATGTTTGGGTGTTGAGGGTTAAGGAATGTATACTTGCCATGTAATCTTGAAGGAAAACGTAATGATTTGTCCTCCATTGATTTGACAGATTGTTGGCTTTGCAGAAAGGTGTATAAAGAATGCTGGAAGAAAATTTGTGGAGGGCAATGATGATAAGAAAAAGAAATGATGAATTATAATTATTTGATATGGTGAAGGACAGGTATTTCAGGGACATGTACAGTGAAAATTAAGGAGAAGTCACCTCCTTAAGTTTTGTGCATGGTACTCTCTAGGCTCAGAGGGGTAGCTGTGGAGGAATTTTTCTGAGGGAGGGATCATAGGTATGAATTTCTGCACCCCTTACATGTATTTAGTAAATAAACTCCTTCACGCAACTGAGAAATAACCAAAAACTTAATAATTCAGAGGTGGAGCTTCATTGGCATTTTTAAAATTTTGAGGACAATCTCTCAGTCAAGGACGTTTTGGGACAACAAACCAGTAACTCAGAAAGGAGTCGTCAGATTTCACACTAACCCTGGGCTATCTTAATCCAGTTTTGAACAACCAGCCCTGTACTCTACACATCAAGGTCATTTTTCTCATTGAAAAGAAATAAAGATAAAAAAGTGAAACTCTTTAGCTTTTGGGTTGCCGTGCCTCAGGTATTAATTTGGGCTATTATTTATTAAGTGCCAAGAAGAAATGGCAAATGAGTATCTGCATGTACACTGTAGCACAATAAGATTTTCCCAATGAAGATTCTTTGGATTTGGGTGTGTTTGCAAACCTGAATTTTAAGGTGAACAGATTATGTTATTGAGAGCTGGGTGTTTGAACCTAATTGGGAATTATGTTAATTCTTTTGACAAGGCATTTATTATTGACAGAACTTGACAGTATAACATAAGATCGATTAATGTGAAAGTCAGAACACTTTTAGCACCAGAAATATTTATGAAATGTTATGATCTGATTTGACCTCAGATAACATAACAGGAAAAAGGAGGATTTTTTAGTTCAAATATAGCAATAAAAATGCCATATTTCAACCACATAAATTCTTGTAAAGTGTAACAAGTTGGTGAGAAAGATAAAAACATAAAATTGGTACATAGCAAAAAAAATAAATGAACGTTTTATAAATCACATGATGTTAAAATTTCTGTTGTCATGTCTTAACTCTCCCCAGTCCCTTCCTTCAGTGGTTCTGATGGGAAGTGTTTTGATTGTAGATCAACCAAGAGAGAGGGGGTCTGGGTTCATAACTTTGCTGAAGCTTCCATGCTTTGTCCTGGGAAAGGCACTATTTAATAGAACTGTGTGGAGTGTTCTTTATTCTGAAATTGTGCAGTACACATGTGTACAAACATCAGAGCATGCATCATGAGCTTGATTTGAAATTACAAGACAGTGCGACTCCAGACAAAATTTTGTAGCACAAAGTTTAATTGCCTCTTCACTACATCCATATGAAACTGGACAATATTATCACCTAATTACAGGATTTTGATCAGTACCAGTATGCTATTGATACAGTTGATTTGAGTTTCATTGTATATTTCACCTGCTTTGTCAATTTCTTTCTCCCATTACCTACTTGAGATTCAGATTCATCTCAGAGGGAGGGGGGATCACAGCCAGATCCTGCAAGGTCATCCCATTGGAATCCCTTTGGAATCTCCCTTATTAGATCCTGCCTAGTTTCTTCCAGCACTGCTTTCAAATGCCCCCTGGATCACAATGGGATCCCTTACATGACCATGCCAAATTCCTACAATCGCGACGAAACCCTGTCTGGGAGAACACCAGGGGTTCCCTGGCATTGCACTACTCAGGCAAAGCAGAGACTCCCTATTAGCTTGCCAGTAGGAGAGTTCTCTTTTGGGAGAGCACAAAGTGTAGCAGAACTGTTGATTGACTTTTCTGCCTCCACATTTTCAGGCCACCTTTGATTTCATTGGGATAGTTCCCCTATCTTGGATTAAACCAGAGATGGATTATCCATTGGAACTTTTGGGTGTGGTATTCTATATTTTTCTCAGTCACTAGGTTTGACTTGTGCTAGCATCAAAAGACTTGACAGAGTTACAAATGACTTTTTCACTCTGGACATAAAGAAAGCTAATAACCTTTTTTATTCTGGATAAGTGTTTGTTGTCTTTCACACAAACCTTCATCTAACTGCATTTCTACTTGTAAAATATTCAAACCTCCTCTTTAGAGTAGAACCCTTCAACACAACAGTATTTGTGAATGAAACTCAGACAGCTTCTTGAGATTGTTTAATCTTTTGACTTGCAAGAGGTCCTTTGTATTTGCAAATAACTTTTAATGCTCTCAATTGAGTGTCAAAAGTAATTGCAGATTACCTTTGTTCTTATGATAAGAGTAGACAATTTTCATTAGCCTCTCAACCATCAGGTTCAAAATTAAAACCAATCCAGACTAAGTCACCCATGTTTTCTCATCTGCACCTCAGGCAAATCGTTCATTTTTTACTTAAAATTCCCATTGCCTTCCTATAATATTTTTTCTTAATTATGATTAGCTGTAAGTTGTGACAACTCAATCAACACTCAATCAAAAACTATTTAACCCTTTACACCACAAAATCAGTGTGTATTTTCTCTTTACTTCTCTCTACCCAATTCTTATGAGGTGCTGATAAACAGATAAGAGCTTGTTTAGTTCAGTGTTCTCCTTTTCAGGCAGTAGTACTTGTTGAGGCTGGATTGCATAAAATTTGTGACATGGTGAAGTCAAATGGGCATTTTCATACGTTGTGTGACTTACAGTCCAAGAATATCCAACCCAGGAACTCCCTCTCCTGGCATGGGTTAATAGACGCTATTCCTGTCAATTGGAAGAAAGAGCT